GTTGAATGGTGAAGTGTAGAGAGAACTTGAGGAACAGTGGTGGCAGAGGGAGCTGTGACATGGTAGGATCACTACAGGCACTGAACAGTTCTTCATGTTCTTCTGCTCTTTACTGGTTCTTGACATTTGGCTTCATGGCCCTAAAAAAAAAAAAAAAAAAAAGGTTGAAATAGTAACTTCAGTGTTATACCATACCAGAAAATAAACCTTTCTTGCGTTATGTGGACTTCGTTTCTTAAAGTACTTCCAGAAGGAGTCTTTACATGCTGCTGCTTTTTTCTTCTGCTGTCATTTGTCATGTATGCAGGAAAGGTAAAATTTCTTAAAGGAAAAATAAAATAAATTTGGCAATGCTAGTGATTTAAAACAAACCAACCAACCCACACAACAAAGCATTCTTTGAACAGCAAATTATTTTGGTTCAGATGTTTCTTCTCAAAGATCTCCAGCCATTCTTTTCTATCTCTCTGTCTAAACTTGTCATTTCTCTTCAGCATGCACTCCAATATCTTAAAGGGATTTTTAGTACTGGAGAGAAAGAGGAAAGCAGACAAGCTGCTCTAATCTTGCCTCCTCTTGAACTTTTCTGGAGGGTACTATCCAGCATCACAGAATAGTTGAACTACTGTCTGCACTGTATTTTCCTGCCCGTGGGGTGCCCATTCTGCAGGGTGACATTTCCTTCCTTTTTGATGAGAAGCTGACTGCAATGTCACTGTTAAAAAAAAAAAAAAAAAAAAAAAAAAAAGTCTTTGCATCGTGGTAATGAATGCCAATTTCTCTGAAGGGCACTGTCACCTTCAGTAATAACCTGCCAGTGCTACATGTGCCAGCTCTGAGTCGCCTTGTGCGCGAGGTCTGCTGGCAGCCCTGGCCCCAACCCTGGTACAAACCTTCTCAGCTTTGGTTTACTTCACTGTTGAAAAATTACACTATCGTTCATCATGCAAATTCAAGGTGTTTTGAGTGCATTGGTGGCACACTGACATTTTGTCACCGCAAATTCTGTGAATCTTTAACAATTTGGGGGACTGGGATTCTTGCGGTTCATGAGAAATACCTAGAAGCATCCCAAAAGGTAAAAATGAGTATCCTTTTTTTTCCAAAAAAAGAAAAACCCACCTTGTAGAGCTAACTAGTTTCTCCTTGGGAAAAAAAATCAGGTAATCAGTTGGCCAATTAAGTGGATCATCTGCTGTCAGCAGAACAGATAGCTTTTAGGACACATTGTTTGTCACGGTCTATTTCTGAGTTCAGACTACGTTGCCTGTTATCGATCTCTTAGTGCTAAATTCACAGGAAAGAGCAAAGATCAGAATTAAGCTTTTCTTTTAGCAATGGTGATGCTCACTGGTGAACGTGTAAATTGTTTTTTTGGGGGGAATGGCTCTTAACTGCACTTCACAAGTTCAGCTCTCAACATGGATACTGAATTTCACAGCCTTTCACAGAAGCCCTGCACCTTGTTAAGAGCTTTTGGTGTCTTCTGTTAGAGATGCTTTTTGCCTTTCTTGTCCTCCTAACAGCATCTTGGAAGGCAGTTGATTTTGTCGTGGTCCTTCAGGTAATTTACTTTCAGATAAATTATACATGAGCTTGACTTCCAAGTGCAGGGCTGTTACGCAGCCACTGCTGCCCCGTTTCTTAACTTCAGACTCAACAATTTATGTCCTATAGTTTTGCTAAAGGCAGTGGGATGAGGTGGAGTGTGTGTTTATTCGTAATTTTTGTAACCTCGCATATTTATTTCTGTTAGCTCTTTGATTTAAACAGCAGCAGATTGAAAGGTCAAAGGTTAGGCTGGATAGGGTGGAGTTTTCCCACAGCTGCTGATGGCTTACTGATCCCGCTGTTTACATATCCCGTCCCTCTGACGAGGATGATGTATTCGACAGGAGAGCTTCTACTATTTTGGGAGCATGCTTAGCCTGGAGCTCTCGATCCCTCCCTTAGAAACCTTTGGAAAACAGTCACTGGCGATTGTAGGGTGCAATCAGGCCAGCACTCAGATATGTCCTTGGTGCTTGCGGATTTCAGTCCAGCTGTACATACACTGAAAGCTGAGCGTGTGCTGAAGTGGGCCTGTGGTTGAGGTCTCAAGGTTATTTTCACTTAGATACTGTGCAGGCTCAGGAGCAGGAGATGGATCAGCCAGTTTGGTTACCTTATGGGGGTGATCCAAAGGAAACCGAAGTTTGAGTCACTTTGAAAGAGCCTTTCCCTTGAAAGCACAAGGTCTCCCGTGTAAGCAGATTTTCTCTGTGTGTGTGTGCTTTTTGTGCAAAATGGTTGTGTTTTTTTCCCAATAACAATGTTTTGCATGGAGCTGTGTTATCTACGTGGAAATCTGCACAAGTTCTCGTTGATAAGTGCAACATGAAGCTGAAGCAGGTCTGCTCAACTGAATATATTTATGGCAGTTTTATTCATTTGCTTTAAATCACGGGAAATCAACTATTCTTAATCAATATTATGCAGCGTATGCTTATTCTTGAATTTTACTAAGCCGATGTGTTGTAAATGGGAAGAATTTTTGAAGTGCGTTTTTACAAAAAGCCCCAGCAAAGAAAAGGATGCACAGGACTGTACACCTCATGTCTGGACCTGTTGTCTAGGTACAGTCAAAACCACTTGATAATTTTTAATGTAGTTGCTTTTGGGATTCCTGGCAACTGGTCTCAGTACATTCCTAGAGAGGGTGCTTTATAGGTCGAAGTCAAACTTGGAAATGCTATGGAGACAAATTCTGCTCTTCAGACACAAGACACAACTCAAATTGGAAAGGAATTGAGAACTCCGACATGAGATTTGACATTTCTGAGGTTTATGCAGGACACTCTGCTTGCGAATGGCCTTCTAGGAGCCGACCTTCCTCTGTATCATCAAATTATCTGTCACTAACCAATACTGGGTGCCTCAGAGGGAGTGGTATATGTTTTGTTTCTGTCCTTCCCAAAATTCTTATTTGAGGAATAGTCTAATAATTGTTCCCTTAAATCTAAACAAAGAAGAAAGAAAACTCTTCTAGAACCTGCAGGGTAATCGCCTGTATTTGTTTGTATTCATTAGCATCTATTGCTTGAAGATTTTCATGGTTATAGCTGCATATTAAAACACAGGGTTTTAATGCAGCAACAGAACATTTTAACAGAAAGCTGTAATTAATAAGGCAGCTGACCCAAGACACTCACTTCATTGACTTTACTCTATTTTTTTTTATCTTAAAAGACCAATTCTGAGAAGTACTACAATAAATGGCTAACATAATTCTCCTTGCCAGTCAAAGTCACTCTATCAGTTTCATGAGAAATCTTTAACATAAGAAGTTTAGAGGTTTTGAGTTTGTTTCCAGTAGTTCCTATTTCTTTAAGCCCATTTGTGTGCGGTTGAGGTTTTGGAAGTATTTCAGATGTTATTGAATGGAGTGCGTGAGTACTGAGCAATTTTGTAAAAATGTTTATACTGACAAATTTGCTGAACATATCTATACAAAAATGCAAATGATGAGTGAAGACATTCTTACAAGTGTAAGACTGTTGCTCTGTAACTGTGGGAGCCACACGGGATCCTGCTTGGGTGCAGACAGTGGGGAGCATCGTGAAGATAGTGATGGCTGGATGGTGGGCATGCCTAGAGTACAGGGGCTGAACTTAGGATGTGTAGCGTTGTATGACTTGAGGAAGGGTGAATGATACAGCAGGTGCAGGGGGACTGCAGAAAATCAGCTCCTGGGGTAGTTTGTGCTGCAATGGGTTTGGGAACTGCAGATTCTGGTGTCTCAAAGCGGGTCCCCCGAGCTGCGGGGAAGCTGCTCCCTGGTGTGTGCCTGAGGGCTGTGCACATATCTCCAGCAAGAAAACTTGCTCACCTCGAGACTCCCCTTCTGCCTGGAATCCGTGCAGGCAGCAGAAGTCCATTCAATGGCAGAAGGCAGGGAACTGGGGAAGTATTGCCAGTGGCCAGGGAAATAGGAGGGAAATCAGTTGTAAGAAGTGTTTTGCTAGGAACTACATCCTTGAATAATGTTTTAAAAATATTTTTATAGCTATTGGATAGTTCGCATAGTAACAGAGTAGCTGGAAATCGTGCAGAGAAAAAGAATGATTTGCAATTTGTAATTATTGTGAAATGTTTTGAATTGATAATGCATGGAGAAAAACTTAAATTTAGTTGCTGCACTAAAACCACAGAAAGCTTTGCAGGCAGTTGGATTTACATCCCACGGTAAGTAGGTACTTGGTATTAAAAACACAGTCACACGTGTGCAAGTATTTTCTCCAAAGGAGTTAGAAAATATGCCCTAAAGAAAATATCTTTGGCTTTCTTGCCTGGTTATCCACTTTTCAGTGATGTCTTGTGGTCCTGTTTCACAGAAAGTACCAGAACAACTACTTTCTAAAGCAGATAGGGAGATGAGCAAGTGTAAGGAAGGTTAGGGCTGAGCAGAGCAGCCGCAAGAGCCATGCAGTTGTGCACACAGCTGAGCTGGGCTTCTCTGCCTGGTGAGAACATCCTTTGGCAAAGGACACTAAAACTTGCAGATAGGAAAGCCCAGACTCTCCTGGGTGTGTATCTCAGAGGTCTGACTCGCAACTGTTGTTTGGTTTCTTTTTTTTTTTTTTTTTTTTTACCTGAAGTATTTAAGATTACGGAGAAGAGGCAGAGTTGAGGCAGGATGCTCATCTGTGGAGCACCTCGGTTTCACAACTGAATAGCACCTCCTCGCACCAGCAGCAAGTTGCTGGGATCTGGAGGGGAGTTTAAGAGCTACAAAAGTCACTTATGAAAGCTTGGTATCTGTAATGCTGCAATCAGTCAAGTCACCATTGTTACGTTTTATTGCTCAGCAGGGAAATGAATGGTGGGAAGGGATAATGTGTTTTGAGGTTCGGAAGAACATGAATTATATTTACATAAACATCTCTATAATTTATGCACTTGTGGAATGGCCAGAGAAAACTTATTTATTTATTTATTGTTTTAATGTAATTATTCTGCAGGATCCTTCAAACCAAAAATGTGGAAGAAAGAAAACTGTGTCCTTCAGCAGCATGCCATCAGAGAAGAAAATAAGCAGCGCCAGTGACTGTATCAGCTTTATGCAGGCTGGGTGTGAACTGAAGAAAGTTCGTCCAAATTCCCGGATTTATAACCGTTTTTTTACTCTGGATCCTGACCTGCAGGCTCTTCGCTGGGAGCCTTCCAAGAAGGACCTTGAGAAAGCCAAGCTTGATATTTCTGCTATAAAAGAAATCAGACTAGGGAAGAACACAGAAACATTCAGGAATAATGGACTTGCAGATCAGATTTCTGAGGACTGTGCTTTGTCGGTAATTCATGGTGAGAACTATGAGTCCCTCGACCTGGTTGCCAATTCAGCTGATGTGGCCAATATTTGGGTATCAGGATTAAGGTACTTGGTTTCTCGTAGCAAACAACCCCTGGATTTGATGGAAAGCAGCCACAATACCCCACGATTTGCCTGGCTAAAAACTGTATTTGAAGCAGCAGATGTTGATGGTAATGGCATAATGTTAGAAGATACATCTGTGGAGCTAATAAAGAAGCTTAACCCTACCTTAAAGGAATCAAAGATTAGATTGAAATTTAAGGAAATCCAGAAAAGCAAAGAGAAACTGACAACACGAGTAACAAAAGAGGAATTCTGTGAAGCATTCAGCGAACTTTGCACGAGACCTGAAGTTTATTTCTTACTTGTGCAGATATCTAAAAACAAGGAGTACCTAGATGCCAATGATCTCATGTTGTTTTTAGAGGCTGAGCAAGGAGTAACCCACATAACGGAAGAAATGTGTCTAGATATTATACGCAGGTACGAGCTTTCTCAAGAAGGACGATTGAAAGGTTTTCTTGCAATTGATGGATTTACTCAGTATTTGTTGTCCCCAGAATGTGATATTTTTGACCCAGAGCACAAAAAGGTTGTCCAAGACATGACACAGCCTTTGTCCCATTACTACATCAATTCATCCCACAATACATACCTGATAGAGGACCAGCTGAGAGGACCAGCTGATATCAATGGGTACGTAAGAGCTTTAAAGATGAGCTGTCGGAGTATTGAACTAGACATCTGTGATGGCCCAGATAACGAGCCCATTATTTGTAACCGTAACAACATGACATCGCCACTTTCCTTTCGAAGTGTTATTGAGGTGATAAACAAATTGGCCTTCTTTGCTTCAGATTACCCCCTTATTCTCTGCTTGGGGAACCACTGCTCGGTACAACAACAGAAGTTAGTGGTACAGCACATGAAAAGGATCTTTGGAAACAAACTCTACACAGAGACACCTTTATCCTCAGAAGCCTACCTTCCCTCACCTGAGAAACTGAAAATGAAGATCATTGTGAAGGGGAAGAAGCTGCCCTGTGACCAGGATATATTAGAAGGAGAAGTCACAGATGAAGATGAAGAAGCTGAAATATCCCGGAGACTGTCAGAGGACTTCTCAAGGGAACCGAAGCTTATCTGGCTCTGCAAAGAGTTGTCTGACTTGGTGTCTCTATGCAAATCTGTCCAATACAAAGACTTTGAGACATCCATGAAAGCTCAGAATTACTGGGAAATCTGTTCCTTTAGTGAGGCAGAAGCCAGTCGGATTGCAAATGAATACCCTGAAGATTTTGTCAACTACAACAAGAAGTTTCTCTCCAGGGTGTACCCAAGTGCTATGAGGATAGACTCTAGTAACTTAAATCCTCAAGATTTTTGGAACTGTGGTTGCCAGATAGTGGCAATGAACTATCAGACCCCGGGGCCCATGATGGACCTGCACACCGGCTGGTTCCTACAGAACGGGGGATGCGGGTACGTTCTCAGGCCTTCGGTCATGCGTGATGAAGTGTCTTATTTCAGTGCGAATACAAAGGGCATTGTTCCGGGGGTCTCTCCCCAAGTCCTCCATGTCAAAATAATCAGTGGTCAGAATTTCCCAAAGCCCAAGGGTGCATGTGCAAAAGGGGATGTCATAGATCCCTATGTTTGCATAGAAATCCATGGGATTCCTGCAGATTGCACCGAGCAAAGAACTAAAACTGTTCAGCAAAACAGTGATAACCCCATTTTTGATGAGAGCTTTGAGTTCCAGATCAATCTGCCGGAGCTGGCCATGATCCGTTTTGTTGTTTTGGATGACGACTACATCGGGGATGAGTTCATAGGCCAGTACACCATCCCGCTGGAGTGCCTGCAGCCCGGATACAGGCACATACCGCTGCGGTCTTTCGTCGGCGATATCATGGAGCACGTTACCCTCTTCGTGCACATTGCAATAACCAATCGCAGCGGAGGCGGAAAGGCCCAAAAGCGCAGCCTCTCCGTGAGAATAGGAAAGAAAGCCAGGGAGTACACCATGCTGAGGAACACCGGTCTCAAGACTATTGATGACATCTTTAAGCTGGCCGTGCATCCGCTCCGAGAGGCCACCGACATGAGAGAAAACATGCAGGTATGGCCGTCCTGTGCGCTGGCGTGTGGGCAAACTCGCTGGATCTGGTGAAGCTTCGGGCCCACAGCCCTTGTCAGCTTTTAACTGCACATCAGGGGGCTGATAGCTGCGGGTGCTAACTAGCAAGCAGGTGTGGGATTAGGCAAAAATGTCGTAAAAATCGATGTCCCTTCTGAACACACACTTTGCTGGTTTTATTTGAGGAAACAGAACTGAGGGTACGTTTGTGTCCCCAGGCCTCGGGTCTTAAATAACTTAATTTCCTCGCTGTTCCTGGAAAATGTCAGTAAGCTTTTGTTTTGCTAACTCAGTGAGGGTTGTGCTGTTTTTTTGTTTTTTTTTTGTGTCTTAAGTATAAGAAAGAGTGATGGATGTGTCATTAAGGTCTTGTCTACACCAGAGAAACCCACCGTGCTAAGAGCAGCGTATTTCCCTGGGCGCCTGTTGCCACTGTTCACCCAAGGGCTGCAAATGTTTCATGCACACAGCTGGAGGCCACTTGGGCTGTAATTTCCTCCCTGCTAAATAGCCGTGTTGCCTTGGCTGGCCGAGTGCCTGCACAGACACCTCTGACACATCTTGGCTCAGGCGCTCTCCAGGCACATGCAGGTGCTGGCACTCAGCACAGCTCCCCCACTTCACACCTTGGTGGTCAGCGGGAGCTGATGTTGCAGCACGGCCAAGCCTGACCAGTGCTGGCTTCTGCTCTGGTGGGCGATTGTGCAGCTTTGGTAAGGGTCACCTCAGTTCAGAGGTCCGGGCGCTGCCTAGAAACAAAACTGAGTAGCATTAAACAAGGAGTTTTCTCTAATAAATAGCTGAAATCAGCCACAACTATCTCCTTGGTAAAGACACAAAAATGATTCATTTTTCTTTCCAGAAAACAGGAGGAAAACGCATAGCATTTCATTGACCCCACTCTTCTGGACAGAGTCTAAAGCAAATTAAATGTTGGCAGCTGGAAAAGTTTACAAAATGACATAAGTTTTAAATCACTCCCAAAGGAATAGTCTAAGCATATTTTTAAGAATGGGAAACTCTTCCCAGCCTTTCCTTTCCTGCGGGCCTTGAAAGTACCAAGTTTGAACCGCTGACTCCACCTTCTGTCTAGGTCAGGATTATATCTGTGAGCTGTAGGAAATAAAATGTTCTTTGACTTTGACTGAGGAATAGCATTAATCTGCCTGCCAAATGAAATTTCAGTACAGTGTCTGAAATTTCTCGTTCTTGGGAATGCTCTGTAAAGACACAGTCATTACCTTTAACTGCATGCTAATGTATTTGATTAATGAGAGAAGTCTCTGTTAATTAGCTGGGCATTCTTCTGAGGACTTTTTTCAGGAAGATGTGGGGTAACATTTACAAGGTATGGATTGTTATAATATTGTCTTGCTTAAATTTTATGTGTCTTGGTCACTACTGGTATGACTCAAGAGAAGCTCAAATATGAGGGTGAGTCAGCCATCCATCCACTGACTTGATAAATAAATAAATTCTGGCATGTTGGTTTGGTTTGACCTGTATATCCTGTATTGATTTTCTTACATGCGACGTAAGAAGGAGAAAAGAGTGTTTGTGTTTCTTTGTGATGTGGAAATGCAAGGCTGAAAACAAAGTGTGTTTTTCCTGCTTGTCTTTCCCATGGGAAATATGAGGTCTGTCAAACTTGTTCTTGCTGGAGGATGATAATGATAGGAGAACGAGGTGATTACAGCATCAAAAGCAATTGGAGTTGGAACAGCTGAGAAATAGCATTTTAGGCTGGTGGTTTAATGTGCTGGGGACCAAAGCATGTCCCTGTTGGAGTTGGATTTGCAATGCAGAGTAACTGCAGAACTGGCCACTGGGATATCCCCAGCAATGTTGTCTTGTGGACGTCTTGAGCACGCAAAACAAAGCTCTTACAATCCTCTGAATGCTAGCGTGACCCTTCTGACTTCAAGGCATGCCTGTGCTTGTACGTGGGCACACGGTAGAAAGGAGAAGCAGGAAGGCACTGCCTGGGTCTTAGCAGGTGGGTAGATGATGGCAAGTGGGGTAAGTGCTCAGGTGTTTCTCTTCCTTCCCCCAGAACGCCATGGTGGCCGTCAAAGAGCTGTGCGGGCTCCCGCCCATCGCGAGCCTGAAGCAGTGCATCCTGACCCTGTCCTCGCGGCTGGTGAGCAGCGAGAACACGCCCTCCGTGGTCCTCTGCATGAAGGATGCGTTTCCTTACCTGGAGCCTCTGGGTACCATGCCTGACGTGCAGAAAAAGGTCCTGGCTGCATATGACCTGGTAGGTGCTTCCCACTGCTACCCGTGGCCTTCCCCAAAGCTGTGAAAGTGGCAGACTCTTTGCTGGCTTCCATGCACCTTGAAGTTTCTGTGAAGTGAAGGGAGCTGTTCAGACGACTTCAGCTATGCAAAATTGACCTTTTATTGTCCAAATTGCCACACTGAGCTTTTTGTTGTTTATTTTTTTCTTTAAACACAGTTGTGACTAGCACAGGTTGGCACTTGAGGAGGGACTTTGTTTATAAAAATAGCAGCCATTCAGCATGTACCAGCAGCTGTTTGTTGTCCTTGAGAGAAGGCACAAGATTTGTGTGTTTCCTTTTGCTTCCCTCCCCTCAGCAGAGGGGAAGGCCATCAGACAGGGAGGCACAGTGTGGGAGTACCCGGGCAAAGCTGGGCCATCCCCCTCCTGACGCCTTTTGGCAGCACCGTAAGTAATGCCTGTGTCCCTGCTAAACCAAGTAAATGTCACTCTTGGAGAGAGAGAACGCCGTTGGAAGAACAGTTTTAAAATGCTGACTAGTTTGTGGGAGGAAGGCAAGGGCAATATGGTATGGAAATACTTGTGAAATATAAAGAGATGAGCTAAGATAAGTTGAGGCAAATACTGCTGGTCAGCCTTGTGTGCTGAGCACATATATCACATATATCACAGCTGCTTGTGACTGCGTATCAGCTGCATGCGACTTAGATCGGCAGTAGTTGCTCTCACGGTGTGACTCTCAGGTTATTAGACTGCCCCGTGACTTCCCATCCTTAGTAGTCGATCCGCATCAACTGATAGAAAGCTGTGTAGTTCTGTGAAACATGACTTAAATAAATCAAAACGCGTGTTCAGCGCACCAGCAGTTATTTCCACATCTTGCGTTTGTAAGGAATGAAATGGCAAGTACCTTTGGGGACATCAAATTGCTTCCAGAGACCCTGAAGTGCTGCAAAGAGTGATTGCATCTTTGACCAGCTATTCTGTGTGCCAAATGCTCTCCTCTGCATCTCAGTTTTTGCTTCTATAACACACTCTGCAAGAGAAAATCAGCTGGGAGGAGGGGGGAAAAGGAAACACTAATATAATTAAAAGACATTCTGAAATACTCTGAAAAAGCTTTGCGTCCCTTCCAGGTAGTTTATCTTACTTGGAGGTAATAAAGCTGTGGTAATAAAATACCGGCTGTACCAATATCAGAAGGAGGATTTGGAGACCTGTCAGCTGCCACGTTTTAGATTTTACTTTTTTGTATGGAGTTGTTGCATGGTGTGATGTTTGTTTGAAAGAGCAAATACCACAAAGCTAGGACATTTTTTCGTATTGGGAGGCCTGGTTATGGAGATTTAACAAAATGAATGTGCCATCTCTTAACTTTGTAATTATGTACTGAAGAGTTTACATGGGACGTTTCAAGGCCTCCTTGTGCTTTATAAAAAAACTTTTCAGTTTTAAATAGGTGAAAGGCCTCTTTTGGATGCAGATAAAAACACTTTTACTAATGCTGTTAGATGGTTGCTTTCAGGTGTGTCTCCAATGGAGGAAGATGTACCTCTAATGTCAGGATCTAGCACAAGGGCTTGAAAACTAGAGTGAAGGGAATTCTTCTGTGCCTTTGTAAAGGCTGATATGAGATGCAATCCTGGTTAATGAGAACATATTACTTTAAAATATTGTTATTCATGTTGTCTGGCTTGGCCTGCATCTTATTTTTCTAAAACCGTTTCTGAAAAAGCAAAAGCCAGATTTAATGAGTGTTTTTGCTTTATCTTGGATATTTTCTTTTTCAGCCAGTGTCAGCAGCAGAAGATTGAAATCTATTTTGTCTTCTGTGTATTTAAAAAAAAAATGAAGTTGCTATCAATTTTAATATTGAGAAAGGACTCCTGCTATGGTATTTGTAGTGTATACATGTAATCCAGGGTGTATTTCTTTAGTAAGGAGATTGCTGTGATGAAGCTTTTCATGGTCAGTTTGAGTGAGAGGTTAAATCAGGCAGGCAGCATGAGATTCAGCTGGCTTGATGAGTGTGAACTAGAGGACAACAGTGAGCACTGAGGAAGATGTGGGGACAGAAAGAGAAAGGAGGAGTTTAACAGAAAGGGGGATTTTTTTTGTGCTTTTGTTATCCAGGAAGAAATGCTTGGTAGCAGTGCGAATGAGAGCACGAAGAGATGTTGGTAGAAAGCAATATAAAATATTTTAGGTCTGGTTAAAACAAACGAAGAGGATTTACTAAAATTTGGCCTTTCAAGTTGCTGATAAGTATGGCTTCAAGGAACTGGATCTACAGTCGTTCAACTGTTCAACTCAAAGCACGTTTTGGGTGAACAGGCCTGAAAGCAATTTCAAATACATTTAATAGAAAGCATTGATGTTGGCCTCTCTCTTGTACGAATGGTTGTCCTTAATTTCTGTTACAATACCATGAAGAAAAGTTTGCCCCTAAATGTCGCAATGGAAAGCTGTCGGCTGCAGGTGTGCCTTGCTCGGAGGTCTGAGGGACAAGCAGCTTGGGCAGGCACCTGTCGTTCCCTGCCTCAGAAAGCATCACATATTTGAAACACTTGAAAGTGTCTGCTCTGAAAGTCATCTCTGATAAAACAGCCCTAATGTGCTGAATTTTTCCCCCTACTGAAAATTGCCAGCTGACCATATCTTTTTTTTTTTCTTTTTTTTTCCAAAGAAAATACAAACTCTGTCAGCGTGTTTAATGGGGCATGGGCAGTTGTGACAGCCTGGGCAAATGGAGGTGCAACTACTCAGAGACCTGCCACAGCCATCCTGAAAACAATTAGCTGGCTGTTCCCTTGTGTTCAGCCTTTGTCAGCAGGCAATAGACAAAGATCGCTTTGTGCAGTTTGTTTTTTTTTCTTTTTTTTTTTTTCCTCTGGGTAATTAGTTTTACCATTGTGTTCCACCTTAAATATTTTCTTTTCAGAGAGGCCCTATTAGAATAAAATTTAATGCGCTTTGTTTAGGGAGCTGCAATGATTTTTCAAAGGCTCTATTTTTTGTTCTTATGGTTACATTGCAGCACTTTTGTAGAACTCACCTACTGCTGTGTCTCGTGGAGGAGGCTTCAGTGATGATACCGCGTTGTAAGGGAGTTTCTGCAGAGAACAGGGAATGGAAGCACTTGAAAATAAGATGGAATATAGGCAATGCACAGAAAACACTCTTGAAAAATCTGTGAACTACCAGAAGCATGGTTTAGAACAGTTTATTTCAACTTACATACAGTTTTGGTTATTATCATACATAGTGTAGCATATAATGAATCCATTCCAGTGCTGTCATCCATTCCCCATGTACATCCAAGGACAGTGCAGCATGCCATCTGCAGAGCTGCTCTTGAGACCTTTCCTCTCCACCAGGAGAGGACTCTTCTGCTTTGGCTCCTCATCACCCGTGGCCGGGCATTGGAAGAAGCCCACTCAGGTGGGGGCAGCGCGTGGGATGCACCTTATAACCTGTCGAACCTTGTATGCAGCGATCATGCTGGGGGGGGGAATGAAAAGCAAAAAGGAGCTGTCAGTGTGAAGAAAAGGGATGGGGCCCAGCTGCACGTGACAGATGGCAGAATTATTCACTGCAAACACTTCCCCTGTGAAGTTAGAATTTTTTTGGTCGAGATTTTTTCATGGACAGATTGTGGTTTCTTATCACACTATATGCATTTGCTGATGCAAGCATGTGTGAACTCAGGGACACTTGTGCAGTTTGCTTGTCAGTTCAGCGTTACCTTTCCTCTGAGATTAAATGCTTGAAGCATTTGAAAATCAAATGTTATAAACAAGTTATAATAAATGTTCCTGTTGTTACCTATTCTTCTGGCTCTTGTGCATGTAGAATTTTTTCCAGCAAAATGAAGGCCTCTTTACAGGAACTGGTTGTGATTATTTTGTGACAGGTAAGGAAGGGCAGCGCTTCAGTTAGTACAGTTGAGGGAAGGCAAGTTGGAGTTAACCTCTCTGCTAATGTAGAGATGGACCGGGGATTTCTGAGAAGTGAAATAGGAGCTGTCACGCTGTTGTAGACACCGAGGTATGTAATGACAGTGGTATTTTGACACAGGGATTGGTCCACGCGTGCTAGCAGAAGTCTGCAGAGGTGTGTGTAGAGAGGACCTGCTCTTCTGTCTGTTTTCCTTTCAGATTCAGTCCTTGCCTCAATGCAGGCATGACAGTTATGTATTCCCAGGGAGGAAGCCCATTTTCCCAGTTTATGTCAATACAAAATGACTAAATAGATTTTTGGTGAGCTTTTCCACTGAAATCTGTATTTCAACTGGGACAGTGTCATCCCCAAAGGGCCATTTTTCACAATTCTCTGAACAGCTGAAAACAAGGGATATTGCAGAGCATAATGCTCACTGCCAAGAAAGTGTCATAACGCACTGACGTCAAACGCAGTCCGGTACATGGACACCGAATTCAGAGCTGCCTTAAAGAGCTTTCTATCCAAAATTGGACATAGACTGGGAAAGCAATTACGCTTTTTCTTTCTCCTTGTCTTGTAATTCTCTCTCTTTTCCCACCACTCTCTCAATTTCTCTCTGAGAGCCACATCCATTAGACCCTTCTAAAATAGGAAAATGGTCAGATCAGAACTTCTCTTACAGGATGAGATTCCAGTTGGGTGCTTTAGATGGCCTGATTCAGCACAAGCATGCTGAAAGCTGCCCCCTCCCCCTGTTCCCCCACTGTTTCTGTTGTTTTGTAGAGAACTGGCATTCATGCACCAGGTCAGATTCTACAGTGCTCTGACACCATATTTCCCCAGAAATGCTTGGAAGCAAAACCATAAAATTAGAGCTTAAAGGAAATTTTCTTCAGTTCCTTTTGCAGAGATTTCCAGCTAATGTAACCATCCCTGATGGCTGTTCCTCTAACTAGGCTGTTGCAGGTAAAGGCTCAGATACAGAAAACTGGCTTGGAGGGCACTGGGACACCGGCAAAGCTCAGTAGGTGGCCAGCATTCCTTCCCGTGTCCTGGCACCATGGGGACATCCTCTTAACAAGACTTGCTGGCACATGATTAATTGTCTGGCAGTTTCATGTCCCAAATGTCTGCAAGAAATGCTTGATGCTAAAGAGGGAATCCTGCTGAAATTTTCATGAGCTCAATTTGCACTTCAGATGTTTTTCCAGTTGGCTGTGTTTCTGTAGCTTTTTTCTTTTTCTTTCGGTAGCAATAGAAGTGTGATATGGTACTACTTACCAAGGCAAAATTCTCCATTGTCTAAAGCAGGCATAAGAGACCGGGACAACAGCAAAGAGGAGACACCTCAGAGGGAAGCTCCTATTGGATTTTTTTTTAATATGATGTTTTGTTGGTTTCTGTTCTAAACTTTGGAATATTTATGAGAAGATTCTTTGAACTGTCCTTTCTGTATCATTTATCTTCCCAGCAGGAGCAGTACTTTAATTTGCCACCAGGAGCTTTCCTTGTCTTGTCTTTTTTTTTTTTTTTTTTTTTTTTTTTTTTTTTGTGGTGAGACTGCTGTGTTAATTTTCTCTCCCCTTTTAAATTTGTAGAATAGCTTCTAGTAAAAGGAAGAAATTGGTTTCTAGCACAGGAGTTCATTAAAGTAAAAAAATAATACCATTTTTGTTCATTTTGTATTGATCTTGTGATTAAACTGTCTTTAGTACACACAAGAAATAAGTCTTAATTTCTTGTGAGTTAAAAAACTGACATCTTCAGTGTTAAAAATATTTTATATTTCACTTACAAATTATTTATCTATCGGGATCCCAAATGGCATTGACTAGGACACCTCCTGTTTTTTGAAAGCCTCTCACCAATGACATTAAAAGCCAGCCTGATGGGTTCCAGGAAGAAGACCGGGACTTACAAAACTGCCTGGAGAGCACCACTCAGCAGTAGCCTTAGCAGAGTGAAGGTGTATGGAAAATCAGGATGCAAAGAGTGCTCCTTCTTCGCATCTGAGACATGTTGCTGGATTTCATAATATTGCTGGCAAGACTGGGCTTGAAAATCTGGGACTGTTGTGTGATTTATGGAGTTACCTTCCTAGAAGAAAATCTCACATCCCTCCCCGTTATGTTCAGAGCTTCTGGTTCTTGTCTTGGCACCACAAATAGAAGTAGGTGACATCCACAAGCAGGGCTTTGGATTTGATGCCAACTGGAAAAGCTGGGAGCATTCAGACTGGGAGATGGTGGAGTCATTTGAGAACCGGTGCCAAAAACAACCAACACCATACCAACCCTGTGTATCTAGATGCCATATCACAGGGCTGTGTGCCAGAGCTGATGACATGATCAGAGCATCTCCCAGGGCCCAAATGGAGGTCCCTGTGGCCAGCGTGCTGCATCTCTGGACAGCATCCTCTGCTGCAGCTGGGAAACCTGCTGAAACTGCTGTCTGCTCGCCAGTGTCTAGCACAAGGGGACACGGGATGCCAGCTGAGGCTCTCACCTGCTTTCACCTGTGTGAGGCTGAGTAGTGACCATTAATTCGCATTAATTCCAGTAAGCAGTTACCAGTAACAGCTTCTTAGCTGGTCCTGACAGTGCTAACTCAGTAAATATCCTCTAAGGGATATCTACCTTGCATGTAAGTGAAAGCATACGAGGGGAGGGAGGAGGGAGTAGATTTTTAATTAGAGTTTGACTGATTTTTGAGTTGTTTTTTTTTTTTTTATGAGGGTATCAGTCGTGTTCCCAGGATTTGAAGAACATCTACTGTGGCAGGCTTAAAGAAACAAAACAAAACAAAATAAATAAATAAAGCTCCATGCTGTAATTTTATTCTTGGAAAGCAGTTACTTGCCTGTTGTACTCTTATCTGTATGAATCCATCTCTGATTCTTCGGAGTGAACATCCTTGCTTCATCCACAACAACTTGTCATTGCAATCGCTAACAGTGGAGCTAGGAAGTGTGATCTCTGGCCAGCTAAAAATGTGCACCTGATTCTTGTTGGGAGCAGAAATCCTGGGTCCTGCGTGCAGCGTTACTGCACCTGGGAAAGACACTATAGGCCTGCCAAAGTCTTGTATCATAGTACACCCAGGATGTGTTATTTCTACCTAATGCATACATCCTAAAGAAACCTCTGAGAACAAACAGCTGGTGGTGAAATAAAGGCATTATTTAACCCCGGATACTGAGCCACGAGACTCTGAAATAACTCCCCAGATTTATCATGAGATAAAAGCAGCTTATTTTAGTCAAGAGTGCTGCTGTGTGAGAAGATAGAAGCAAGTTAAATTCTGCTGTATAATCTGGTTTTAATTGTTCTTGCTGAGGGGAGAGCAGCGAGACTTTGTCAGCATCAAAGGAGCGGAGGGCTGCTCTACCTGCTCTGCAGTAAAGGAAAATTGACATCCTGTTGCTACTTCTCTCTTAAAAGCAAACGTAACACCTTCATGTTTGATAATCCAAAGACAACTGCATCAGAAACTCCTGGGAATGAGTCCAGTAGTTGGAAGAAGACATAGTCAAAGTCATTTGTACCAAATTGCACATAAAACTCATGATTCTCAAACTTTTGTGTGTGTGTGTGTGTGGCATAAATGTGACTCTTGTAAACCAAGTTTGTAGTGACTGGCTGGTGGGGGGGGTTCTCGCTCCCTGTGCTGTTCAGACCAACTGCAGAACTTTTATCTGGCAGCCGAACAGCTCCTTCAACACAACATGACGACATGCTGCAGCATGGAACAGCCAGAGCCTGGGTAGAAGTTGTCATTTCTTTCTAGATGTCAAGCAAAAACATCCAAGAGAAGAAATCAACATGATGCACAGACAAGCAAGTAGTTAAAGAGTGAAAGGCAAAGGATACTATCTAAAGTAATTTACTGAAAAATAATTTTGCACTCTATAGATGTGTCAGACCTTTTTCTTTCTTTATGTTCGTGAATCTGGTAATGGATTTTATTTTTTTCATGCTCTTGTTTATGTCAAAGTGAAGGCATAGGTGTTTTTTATTAAATTAAGCCTATCTTAATAGCTTTGATTAGTGACAGAGATGGCAGAAGCAGAAAAATATGGCTCTGAATTTCTCCAGAAGTTTGGGTGTGACATGGGGAAATGTCTCCTCCCTTGTATCTAATTAAAACAATAAGAAATGCTAATATGCCAGTGTTAGCTTAGTACTTTTATACCAGTCTTCCACCAAAATTGTTGCAATTGACTGGTTGTGTTCTCATACTTAGTACATTTGAAAGTAGGAATGCATTTAAAAGTTGTAACATTTTGGCAAAGCTTTCAGATGGTGGCTTCTGTAATTTCAGGATATAAAATTAGGCAGTATTCTTTCATGCTGCCTGGATTTGATTGAGTTTTGCAATGTAGGTCCCAGGAGAGCGAGATTATTCTCAGACATGGTTTGCTATACAGCATGTTCTTTCCCTTCTGTAACAGATGTACATGTATGTGCCGCCTTCTGCAATTTCACAGACTATAGCATTGAAACAATTTGTTTGTTTGTCTGGGCTTCTGCAGGGCTTTGGGAGGATTGTTAACAGCAAAGGAGAAAAGCAGTTGCAAGAAGGGAGGCTCAGGAAACTTGGGTATTTTGTCTGTGTTTCTCTTAGTGGTGTACTCTGGGAAGCCGCATAGATAGGGGTGTCTGAAACGTGTGAGCATTCTTGGTGAAACTACCTGCCTTTTTTTTTTCCTTTTAAACTTCAGCAGCAGTGTTCAGATGCTGAAAGCTATAGGATTTAGATTAGAATTTCTCCCAAGGGAACCTCAAGAAACACTGAAGCTTTTTGAACCACCGTAGTGCATAAAGATGCGCACAGGCTTAAGTATCTCTTGAAATCAGTTCTATTCATGGCTTGGTAACATTTTTCATAGCAACTTATGTTGAGCAAAGTATTTATTTCTCCTTGCATTTCAATAAAAGCACTGATTATGAAGGGCTTGGTTTCACATAGAATGAGTGTCGTTTGTCTCCTAACTCTGCTTTCTCCTGAAATCACTTCATGTTATTGACAGAGGTGTCTCACTGATGTGAAACAGCTGTTCTTTGAGTTCTGGAACAAAGATCTTCTGAGCAACTGTCACTTAGCCTGATGTAGATCTAGGGGACCTGATATGAGGCAACGATCCAAACGTTATAGTGCTGTTTGCAGAACAGAAGCTCTTCTTGAGTTTTACCCTTGTTGTACCTTTCTGTGGACGAGATGTTGCAGGAAACCATGGTAATGAAGTTGTTTTTCATTTATTTTCTGACAGATGATTCAAGAGAGCAGGGTTCTTATCGAGACGGCAGACATCACTCATGACAAGATCGTTCAGTGTCAGAAAGCAGGTAATTCTCCTCTAATGTGCAGTTCTGGATAGGAGATGGGAAACAACGTGCCATCACTTTCTTAGTTTGAGACTTGAGCATCATCTTTCACCTGATATTTAAGTGAGTATCCTTGTCTTTCCGTAGCAGACTCCACCCTCCTGAAGGACTCATCTTCCAGCAGCAGCGGAGGTGTAGGATCAGGGAGAAATCCTCAGTTTTCACCTCAAGTCTATTTCTCTATCTGTTTTACAGCTCTGAAGTGTCTGACAGCATTTAAATAAGTCAAATGAACTAGAAAGGAATTCAATTAAAATGAGGGAGTGGGAAGGCTATGCTGCCTTTACTGAGCTCTGTTCTCTGCCATAGTTACTGTCTTAAACACAAAGGCTTTGAAACCTACAGAACCAAGCTCTCTTGCCTACCTTTATTTAATTTTGTCATTTCGGGTTGATTTTGAGCTTGGAAACATGCACCAATATAATCCCTTCATGTCACAATGAATCTGTGTGGCTATGCATTATGTATGTTAGTTACATGGGCACACGTAGGTGTAAGTAGACTTAAGGCAAATCATATTTTGCTGGTGTATGATATTGGATGTCTCTGCCTGAATTAGAGCTGTCTTGTGTGCATCAGTAGAAAGGGAGAAGATGATTTCAGAAGTGGCTGCCTGTATGCTCTGCCACGGGTTCACCCTCTGTTTGCAGGACTGGTCAGAATGTCTGCGATTCGCAGTTCAGCTTACTCATGCAAACTCTCTTCATCACTTGTTCGGGACAGTAAGCCAGACTCCAAACTGGGACGTTTCCTGTAGTTTCTGCTGATACACAAAAATAAACCCTGCTTGAGAGATAAGAGTCCACATTTGGTGGTAGTAAGATCTTAATCCTCTACAGCTAAACCCGTCAGCTTTCGTATATCAGAAACCATGCAGAATAAATCCTTGCAGTGTATTTCTATTACGAGTTTACAATGCTGAAATAAAATCTGTTTTCAGTCTAGTTGTACAGCTGCACCTTTTGTAATCTACAGCAAGCCTCAAAGGTCAGGAATGCAAACACTTGCTACTGTATTTAATTTGTGATCTCAGAAAAGTCTTCTGGGACCACAACAATCATAAATACTGTTTTATTCCAAGAGGCATTTTTGGATTTGGCAAGTGACAGAGGCTACAGCCATTTGTTTCTATTAAACATAAATAATGAATGAAACTGATGCCTTTATAGTAAATTCCTTAATTCACCTTTTTAATTAGAAGAAACTAGGAAACTATTTCAGTAATAGCATTTAACTGATTTTTAATGTGGTACAAGAGCAGGGTGGAACCCAGTCTGCTCTTGGAAATTCAGAGCTCTGGAGCCACAGGTCAGAGCTGTGGTAGGAAAGGGAGGAGAGGCGAGCACATTTGTCTTTCCTGCATTTCATGGGCCTCATCTTGGGTTGTGCCTTGGCTCCTCCTGTGTATCTGCACAAACAGCATAAATCTCCTCAGCACAAAGCCTTCAACAGGTACAGAGAGTTTAGGAAATGGGACAGTGACCAGAAAACACAGCACTAATGGTCTTTCTAGCTGCTATAACTTAGAGCAGCACCAAATTATGCAGACCCTCAGGAATATCAGAGCTGTACCCACCCAGCTCTGTGCAAAGAGAGAAGGACCTGTGAAGTCCTCGTGAGCTGGGGGTTGATGACGTGGGCAGAGAACACGACACAGGACTGTATCATAGAACAGCTCGGCTTGGAAGGGACCTTAAAGATCATCTGGTTCCAACCCCCTGCCATGGGCAGGGGTACCACACACTAGATCAGGCTGCCCAGGGCCTCGTCCAACCTGGCCTTGACCCCCTCCAGGGATGGGGCATCCACAGCTTCTCTGGGCAAGAAGCATATCACCAGGCTATGTCCAACAGTTGAATGCAATTCCTTTCTCCTTCCTTCCTCCAGAAAAAAGATTAATTTATTTGTTCTCTTTACTGTTGTATCTCCTTGTTAATTTCTTTGTTCTCATTACTGTTGTATCTCCTTGTACTTCCACTGGTTTTGCTTTGTTAGCCTTAAAATATTTCTGATTGAGAAGGGTGGAGAGAGATGCAGTGCTCATATAAAACCTCAGGATTTAAGTCAGAGGAAAGGAGCAGGAGAGAGAGAATAGATCCCTTGCAGTGCTCGATTGCTGATTAGTTTGTTGCAAATGTTACCCAGGCAAATTGTCCAAAGAAGGTTTTAAATGTGGCAAGATGAAGGACTCATAAGTTTAGAGGTGTCAGAGATACAATTGCCAGTGACATTGTTCTTCACCTCAGCCCAGTCCTACTCCCTTTGGACACGCGTTCCTACCTGACCTCTGCTTCACAGCCCAGCCTGGTTTGGTCCCTGCTCCCTGTGCTACAAGACCCTCTCTGCTCCCCAAGATGACTTCTCAGGCTGCTGAGTTTACGTTTTTTTTTTTGTTTGTTTGTTTGTTTTCATGTATGGTTTTGGCCCAATGCATTAGCAGAATGGAGGACTGAACTGCTATATGCTTTAATTGGTGCTCCTTTCCACAGCCTGATGAATGTTAGTAACTGCCTCTCTCTTGGGCAGCATTATTTCCAGTTTACAGGTGGGAAAGTGACATCTGGGAAGGGGGAAAAACAAAGTATGCTACATAAAGGCGGAGCTGCCTAAGTGGAACTGAGCTCTGTTGGCCTTTGTATTTCTTCAGAGGCACAAAGCAAGTCACTTGGAGGTTTTCTTTGACTTACTCGAGTGAAATTATTTGAGTCAGATGGCACAAGGCAGCTTGCAGGGGAATCTTTCTTGAGGTGCAGTTATTCAGACTGTTTTCCAAAGGAGGTGTTGCAGGAACTCTGGTACCTTAGATATGCAAAACTTGTGAGCAAGCGAAGTTTTGGAGAGTAAGCAGTACGTGTAGATGAACCTTACGTTGTGTGAGGTTGAACGCCCTCAGCGTTTCTCAGGCAGTGGCTCAGCTGCCTCCAGATTCAGTGCAAGGCAGAAGGAAGCCTATTGTCGGTCTTCCAGGAGAGCTTTGGGCAAGCTTACTTGCAGGCTGCCTTGGAGTATCAGAAGGCTGGCTCCTTCAGTCACCCAGCTAAAATAGCCCCTCGGTGCTCCACGCAGGTGTTCTCTGTCAGGTGCCGATGGGGGGTTCTTTGATGTAATTTCAATGAAGTCTGAACTTGGGAGTGACATTTGCCTCAAAACAACAGGGGAGGGAGAGCTATGAAACAACTGGAGATTGAACTTGGTTTGTTCAGCTGGGATGGGCTTCAGATATTTTGGAGAGATTTAGTGCCAATTTGGCCTTTGTAAGGTACAAATTAAGGGAACACAACCAGCTCTCTCTCCATTTTGTCTTTTCATCCACAGCAGCCTTGGAGAAATGTTTGCATACACTGTGCAAATCTCACAGAATTGGTGAGCTAATTGGGCTCGTTAAGGTTTTTTATCTGCTCCCAGAGTCTCAAGTTCTCGTATCCAGCAAAGGATTTGCAGACATTTGCTACAAAACTAGCAATGAAATGTTGCCAATTCCCAGGTCTACGTTTGGAAGTCTCAGCTCGCCAGGCTGCAGGAATACCAATCTTGTGATTAGCAGTGTGCCTTCATGAAATAATTTGTCACTGTGGAGTACAAGGGTTTTTCTATATGACAGTGATTAAGATAAATGAGGAGCTGTGCACCTGAGTCTCTATTTGCCGTGCTGCACAGGTATCTTTCCTGTCTGCCAGACTGCCTCCCAAGGTACATCTGTTGAAGGATAGTGACAAGTGATTGCCTTTTGTCATGATACTTCCAGCAAAGCAGCCTACAATCAGAAGTGCTGGAGTGGTGTTCATGTGGGGAGCAGGCACGTGCCTGTGTAGGACCCCGGCACTGGAAAGGAGACCAAATACACAATTGGAGGCAGAGCTGCAAGGCTGCACATAACACTTAAATAGAAGGGAGATGCTCTCTAGGGTGGGATCATGACAGGGAAGAGGGGGGAACACAGAAAGAGGATGTAGGAAATATCAGCTGCAAGGGCGAAAATGCTCACTGAACATTTTATGGGGGTAATCAATCATACAGAGGGTGATGTAGCGATCTGTTTTTTAGGGATGGAATTCCATGAAGAGCTCCATAACCTCGGCACAAAGGAAGGCTTGAAAGGAAGAAAATTAAGCAAAGCCATTGAAAGCTTTGCATGGAATATCACAGTGCTGAAGGTAAGCACAGAAAGCACCGCCTTGTGTCTCGTAGTAACTTTATAAGCACATCCTTGCTCTTTTTAGCTTATCTCTTGGTACTGTGTTATTAACACTGGAGACGTGTTTTGTTTAAATGGGAAGTATAAATTACCCCCCAACTATTAAGATTTATCAAATGCATCTAATTACAACTGTGGTTTGGAAGCTGTGGAAGGGAATTTATCTAAGCCTGCATAAAAGAGGGATAGCTCATTAGTTTGTATGCTCACAGACCTGGTCTCAGTTGCCTGTTCTGCTTCACACAATGTGTGAATGTGACCTGTCTGAGGTCACTGGGTCTCAGACACTTGATTTGTAATATGAAGACACGGGTATCTCCTGGGGAAGGAGAGGGAAAGGGGGCAGGCTGTCATGAAAGAACACACAACAAATCCTACAGATCCTGCAGGTGTCAGGGTGTGTTTTGAAAGTGGAGCACCATCCAAATGGCTAAAGGAGCCACTTTGCATCTTGGCTGTATGGTGACACGCTGTGTAGTGAGCACCTCAGTCAGAAAGAAAGTAACGGAGTCAGCACAGGCTCCGTTAATAAGACCTCAGATGAAGAGAAAAGGCAACCAATTCAAGCATGATGGAAGAGACTGACCTTCTCCACACAGCATAATTAAGGTGAGTAGTTAAAGAGGATGAAAAAAATAAAAATGTAATAGGCAGTTCTGTACATTATTCTGAATGCCTTTAGCTGTGTTAAGTAAGATAAATGCTTCATGCTCAGAGTCAACATAAACACAGCTGGGGTTGGTCTAAACTTTTAAATTTTCAGATGAGAAAAATTAAATTTTTCAAATGAGAAGTTCAGACCTCTGAGGGTGATCTGTGATTAATGAAGATATGAGTAGGGTATTAGAGAAACATTTCCCAGTGAAAAATAATTGCTGCCTAACACACACTGCCACAATCAGTGTTATGAACATTTAGTCAAGGTCAAAGAATAATTAACGTGTCATTTCTAAGCCACAGCTTCTTGGGTATTTTTTTGGTTTTTGTTTGTTTGTTTTACTTGTATATTGGAATGCCAACAGTGTATGTTGCAACTATCCTCTTGTACAAAAGTGGATGAAACACCTTTTCATTCTGACTGAAGTCCAATTCAGCACTGAGAGTAGGCAAAGGAGAACCACTTTGTACTTCGGGTGTCTGATATGAGGCAGTTGGTCACCATTCTTTTTTTTGTTTTTTTTTTCTCCTCTTCAAGAATATCGTATTTCAGTGACCCTACCCCTAACAAACCTATTTGCTGGTTACAGCTGCATCTTGTGTTTGGCGCTGGCTCTCCCCAGTGTGCTGGTGAGAGCTCCCCAGGAGGGTGTGGTGAGGAGAAATCAGCAACCCTTCCCCACTCAAACCCGGTGCCTGATCTCAGGGTGGCCGGGTTAAACCACAACAGTTGCATATACATTTCACTAGCTATTGGCATAGCGATGTTAGAAAGAAAAAAGTGCCTGTAACATTTAGGAAATGCATCAGCTGCTTCACACTGGGTGAGGTGAGAGAAAGGCAAAAACAACTCCAGGAGAAAGCTTCTTTGTGTGCTTGGGGTCGTTGGAGGCAGCTACGTCATGCAGCAGTCGTCAGCTTTGCTTGCAAGTTCGTGCGAGGTGCCCATGAGCAATAGCAGGTATTGTGTTTTGCTCGTGCCTGCCAGATGATTAATAGTCTTTTCCTAGGCTGGTGAAGCAAAAGCATATTTAATGAATGTATTTATTTATAAATATTCATTGCAATAGGTAAGTTTTGAATACAAAGAATGGATGCAATAAAAAAAATTGCTTCTGGCAAAATCATTAAATAGTAACAGTGTAAGATTAAAGTATATTTTATAAAAAACATGACTGTGGGCATCCTTCGTGTTTAAAAATCCCCTGGGGTACTTTTATGAGGTGTGTAATGAGAACGAATCAAAACAATATGTTTTTTTTCCGTAGTTTATATAATGTAATTACATATTAGTAATACTCACCAGAAGGACAAACTATTTGCCAGAACATAAAAATGTTAGTAAAACAGGGAAGCTACAACTCGGTGACAGTCGAACAAGTCAACTTTGACACGTATTATTAAAATGGTACGTCTTTTTGTATGTTCCATGTAAAATAGTGTCAGACATCCCGTCAGTAATACCGAGAGGCACAACGTAATTAAAGTAGACAGAAGAATCATGTTCTTATAGCAAAATTAGTTGTTAGGATCCTAAGTGTAGTCTTGCTTTTGTTTTTATTTCTATTTCCATGCACCTCTGTTTCGGTGCCTCCATTTTTCTTTCTGAGTTTAAGTTCCACTAACATGCAAACGTGGCAAGACACATTTGATTTGCCACCCGAGGCAAGCCCCCATGCTAGGAACCACGTGTTTCATCCTGATGGATACAGTAAAACTGCTCTGTGGGGTCCGCTTGGCAAGTAAGCCGAGCAAGGTTCACGTGAGGTTCGGGTTTATTGCTCTCATGTGGACGTGCTTTGTCTGTCCGCAGACATGTCTTCCTGGGCTGTCTGTGCTTTGGTAGGTCAGCAGATACCAAGTGCAGTAACAGTGCCACCAAATACTTGGCCGCATGTTGATGGTAAATATCTAGTTAGTATACCTACATACGGACTTATTTATAGACAAAACACAGAAAGTGGCATTTACTGCTTTGATCTACTGAAGGAGAAAAAAAACACAAAGGTTTGTGTCTAGTCTTTGCTCTGAAATGCATTCATGTTTTTAAAACCTTTTTGCTTCCCATGATAAAATTTTGCTTCTAGTGCCATAAGTGTGTTCTGTGTGATTAGGACTCCCAACTATTATTGTGTGCTGCTTGTCACACTGCCAGGCAACAGGACATCAAGAGGTTAATTTCAGAGATCTTTTCATCACCTGTCCATCAGTGTGTCTGCTAATTAACTTGCATTTAAATTAGTGCTGATTAGATATATAAAGAGAGGTTGCTGAATGCAGAAGGCATGCAATTATTAAATTGCAAATGCAATTCACTCTGAGGGAGAAATCTGCAATTTTATGACATAGTCATCAGCAACGCTAGCTCTGGTATAGTTACGCAGCAAAACTGTGCATTAATAGTGATTCTGCATGATGATGTCCACAAATGACCTCTTTCTTCATCAGAGTCATTTGTGACAGCCTTTTGCTGCTTGAGAGATGTGCAGCATTCAGACCTCTCACTTGGGTGGTGGAGACTCAGATCACTCTTGTGATCTTGTCACTCCAAGAACCTTGAGGCTTCTTGGAGTGACAAAAGCCCGATTTCTGAAGGATGTACATACAGACAGGCGTATACTTACCTAGCTTCACCTAATCTGAGCTGAATTTTGCATCACTAAGAAGGTGTCAATTTTCTTTAGGAAGAAAAGCAATGTATCTGACAGTGATTATTGTGCAAGAACATCCTTGGGCACAGTGGCACCATGCAGAGAGATGCTGCTGATCCTTTGGAAGAATTAGGTCCTTTCACAGTCTTAATTTAAAGATTATTATATTACAGTATGGCACTGTTTTTGATGTATACTGTACAGTACTCTAAAGCCATCTGGTAAGTAGGAGTTGCTTGTTTCCACATCAGTCCTTTTTTTTTTAGTTAGGCAAGAACCCATGGTTTTGCTGCTTGGCATGCTACAGAGTGGACCCCAGAGCAGCGTGGCATTTTCATGAGGACATTTCATGTAATTAATCTTGACTGCAACAATATATTCTACACCATGTCGTACAATTGCTGCCAAAGGATTTGCGTGACATTTTACTCTCCAAGAATTAAGCTACAACCAGGTGAAATTGTGAGCACCTGTAAAGTTGCTGTATTCCACGTACCGTATATTTCTTTCACTGTGTCAGGCTCCCACCCGTGCCTCCCCAAAGTATCCTCATATCTGACATTTCTTGTTTTCCCAGCATCTCTCTGTGAACAAAAGCACATTGGTGCTCAGTCTGTGAAACTGCAAAAATAGATGCAATGCAAGCCACGGTGGCTTAGCAACAAATTCTGGTGATTTGCTGTCACCTTGTGACACTGATAGTCCAGCAAGAGCAGTAAGGCAGGAGCAGTTTGAGTGGCACGGAGAGTTCTCACTTGCCTTTAAATGCAGGCTAGCTGGATTATTTTGTGCCTACTCAGCTCCAGATCTACCTAGATAAATATGTTTTGAATGTGGTTACCCTGAAGGCTCGTTTTCCAGAGATGTCTCTGCTGCTGTCTAGTCCCCATGTGGTTTGCATTTCCGTTGTTGCTGCAGTTCAGTGTTGTTTTTAACTTTTAAAGTTTAACTTCTCTGGGCTGCATGACCTGGCTGTTTCTGAAGTACCTGCTGCATTGCTCAGCTACAGCTCAGGTTGGCTGAGCCCAACAGACTTCAGTGAGACGATAGATTTTGCAAAGGTAGGAGGAAATGCAGAGCTGGGCTAATTATTCACACAGGTACTAGATCAGGTTTGTCTTTTACATGTTAACTGAAGGACAAAGAAGGAAAAAAAACAACATAAAAAGGTTGATGGAGAGGGTGCTAAATTGAAGGGTAAGAGGTCCAGTCAGCATCTGCTTATTCTTGTAAATGCTGGCCTGCTTAACTGGGTTCATTTTATTTAACAGTAAAGGGAAAGGTCGGGGAGGACAGAAGTGTTTAGATTGCTCCTTGTTGAGCACGTGAAGAGCTTGGAAGAATGGCCGAGGATGGGAGTGTGGCTCGTTCCTGGGTCCTTGTGTGGCCAGAAGATGGTGGCATGTGTGGTGGAGGCTCCTGGCTGCAGGAGGCTGCCTGTGCCCTGATGCTCAGGATGCCCCTGTTTATAGGGGCTTTATGCCTTTTGGGATGTGTTTGGTGATTTTTCTGGGACCAAGGTGGGGTTTAGAGTCCTTTAAATGATACTGAGTTGGAAAATAGGGAAGTGACAGCATGTGATTTCCACACAAAGCTCTTCTGATCAGTGTTTTTTGTATATAGACAAACCCAAACCACGTAATTATTAGGT